TTTTATTACACTCTACCTCATACCTGAGGTGTCGCGTTAAAAGTCTGCTTTTATCTTACGAAAACCACGTCCGCTAAAGGACGTTGCCAGCTGCAAGCAGCAGGAGGCAAAAGCAGGCAAAAGAAAAAGTAAAGGCAAAGGCAAAGGTAAAATCTTTTGAAAATAGTGATGGTCCTCAAGGACCATCATACTCAAACAGAACATCACATATTTAAAAGCATATTTTCTCCTCTTTTTTTTTTCTTTTTTTTTTAAAAAATTTTAGGATTGTTACAAAACCTTTCTATTCTTCGTATCTTTTCTAAAAAAAATAAGGCTCCCTAAATAATAACGACACTCCTATTATCTAGAAACAAAGCCTACTAAAAATAAATAAAGATAGGCTAGAAAGAAAAAAATGATAATTTCTTGCAACCACATTTTATCGCTAATTCTTTTTCTTCCGGCCCAATCTACTCACTCCAAATAATCTAGAACAATCATCTCGAACATATGAAAATCAAAATAAAAAAGTTCAATTATCTATCTCTTGATTTGCATCAGTGGAATATTATGAGACCATTTATTTTTTGTACAAGGAGGTCACAATCATTCTTAGCCATTAGATGTATAATTAGATACTTACAACATTTGAGAAATTTTATTTTAAACTTTATAGCAATCGATAACTTTATCCCCAAACTACCCAATTTTATATATAACAGTCAATAATGATTGTGATTGTTTACGCTTCGATCTGCGTTGATCTCTAGGATGAGATATGCTCAAATCTTAGCAAAAACTAAGTTATTTTTTAAAAAAGTAGAGGAAAGTGTGGTCGTTTGAATTATAAGCTCAGAAAACTCTTAGATCTAGATCTAGTCTTTTTTTTAGTCCACAAGTAGCGCTAGCTCCAAATCCATAATTTGACTTAAAAAAGGCTTCTAAATTTAATTAAATCTAATAATAAATTAATTTTCAAAAAAATAAAAATAAAACAAAGAATTAAGTGAAGAACAACAAAATAAATTAAGAAAAAAAAGATATACTTATCTATAGAGACTCGAAACCCGGAGTTTCGGGCTTAGATCAGGCCGCTTTTCCGATTTGTGTCACCATTTCTTCTTTTTTTTATGCCTTTGTTTACTGAAATTGGTAGATCTAAGGTTATTTGACCTAGATCTAGGATTCTTAAGGAATGAGAAAAAACTGCAAATTTTAGGTAGGGTCTACCTAGATGTTTTTTGGGATTTCATGGGGAAAATATGTGAATTTTAAGTGAAGTTTACCTAGGATTTTCTTGATATTTCTTGGGATTAGAGAAGAATTTTTTTAGTTTTTTAAGAGTTTTGAGATCTCCAAATTTTGAATATGAATTCTACGATTTTTTGTTGTTTTTTTTTTTTTTTAACTTTTTTAGGTATTTTTCTAATTTCAAGAAGTTCTAAGGGATTTATTAATCTCTTTTCTTTATTTGGTGTCTCTTTTAGGTTATGGAGGGGGTATTTATAGGATTCAATTAATGATTTTTTTTTATTTTTTTGGAATTATCTTGAAATTTTAGCCTTATCTAATTAAAGAAAACACATTTACTGCATCACAAAATATCTTTAATGCATCATTAAACGATTTTACTGTATCATTAGGCTACGCCTGGGCCTATAGGGCAGCGTCATCGCTGGCCCGCAACCCGACACTTAGGTCTCATAAGGACTAAATTATCATTTGTTGGATCTTTTTATCTGTGGGTCTGATTCACGTGATTCTTGGACCGTTGGAAAATTCTAGGGCTCTACTTCAAGTTGCGATAGTTTTGGGCAGTTTTGGAACAATTATATTGGTCTAGGTTGTCAATGGTCTACTAGGATTTTTGTGGTCCTTCGGGCTCGGAATTTTAGTTTTTAAGAGTTCATTCCCTTAACAAGAATTTTGAGAGGGTGTCTATAGTGATATCCTTGTACTAAAAATAAAAGGTCTTATTGTATATACTTTCATTTATTATTTGGTATAGTGTTTTGTAAGATAAATTTATGTGTAGTTTCACTTATAAATTTAGAAAAAGTATATAATGAGACCATTTACCTTTGGTACAAGGTGGTCCCAAATAATCTTGGTCGTTGGATGTGAAATTGGATAGCTGCATTTATTTCATTGACTAGGCTCAAAACTCAAAAAAATTTTCTCTAATTTTGTTACGCACCTAAGCTATCAGATTTCACATTGCGTGATTATAAGTAATTGTGACCTCCAAGTACCAAAGGTAAATAGTCTCATTGTATACAATCTTATAAATTTATCTTTTTAAAAACAATTATTTACTTCATCCACAATAATTTGCTGGAAATCATATGTTTTTATCAAAAAGAGCTAAAACAAATAAGAACTAACTGAGAGATTAAAATCGTTAAATAATATTATCCAAGATACTACCACGCATCTCACAAGATAACATTATCCTAAATAAATTATTTTAAGATAAAATAACCAATTTTAGATTAACGTTCATTGTTATCCAAACAGGTCTTAAGATGTAAAAGTTATTACTTCTGGACTACATATTGTAGAAATGTGGTCCAGGGAAAGAAAATGTGGAGAATGGTACTCTCTCTCTATATATATATTGGAGAATGCTATTGGTTCCCTTTATTTTTCCCAATGTTCAATGGCTTTCTTTTCATTACTTTCCAAAATTGATCTACAAAAGCAATACACAAAAAGTAGGAATTAATGTATTGTCCGCCTCCTACCCTCAACATCAAAATAGGTTATATGGCTCAGATTGAATGATAAGAGACGATATGATGGCCTGCATGTTGGGTTTATGAGGCAATAAAGAATCAAAATATGTTATATGGCTCAAATTGAATGATGAGAGAATATGATGGCCTGCATGTTGGGTTTATGTTGATAAAGACTTTGTGAGAGTTTGCATTCAATATTTAATATAATAAAACATAAACTTAGTGGGAGTATGACTCCTTGTGGACCAAGATAGGCACATATCTCGATCTAATTTCATTAATGATCGCTAATCCTAAGGAAACCATAACCCCTTAAAAATTTTATAAATAGGGATCGTCTTTCCCATAAGTATCTATCCCTCTCACCCCTTCTCTCTCCTAAGCCCTAAGCTCTCTAGTTCTCTCATCTAAGATCTCTCTCATTCCTCTCTTAGTTTGGAAAGAATAAGGGCTCTCTCTCTCTCTCTTATCTAAGATCTCTCGCATTCCTCTCTTAGTTTAGAAAGAGAAACGGGGCACGCCCCATGCACTAGACATTGAGGTCTAGGTGTGCTCCCTAGTTGTTCAATGCTCTCATATTGTGAAGGGCTGAAGCATTAGTTTTTCTGTATTTTGTAGATTTGATATATATCATTGATCTCATACACTATTGGAGGAGGAGACTAAGTGTGGAGTGTATTAAGTTCAGTTAAGTTAATCTTTCAGCATCTTTATTTTGTGCTTTGCAGTTTATTTATTTTTTGTACTTTCTCATTTCCATAAGAATTGTGTTGGTTTTGTTTATTGAAAAAAGAAGTTGGAATTAGTGTCAGCAAGTGAGCACCTCTTTTGGTTATTTATTTATTTATTTTGAATGAATTTGATTGTACTTGGACTTTGTAAGTGTTCTAGTAAGTGAGAAAAAGAAAATTAAAAACTATATGCACCGTGCTAAATCACCATGTCCAACTTTCACAGCACTCATTATAAAACAATTGATAAATTTTAGCCTCTCTTTTTTTCATGCATATTTTTCTATTCTTTTTTAAAAAATCTAGATGAGGTGAATATGTATACAAAATTTGAAATCCTTCGAACTCATTCTCTTTTAAGAAAAGAGGTTCTAATCGGTAATGCGATTGTCAAACCTATAGAAATCAATGGAAGCCGTTACTATTCAATGAGCTGAGCGGCTTGTAATGTCATTTCCCCTCTCACAAGTCCATTCAAAGTTAAATTCCCTCATTCATGAACATGAGTAGGGCTGGCAATGGGCGGGGCTAGTCTTGGCCGTAGTTTGCACATAAATAGGGCTAGCAATGAGTGGGGCCAGCTAGCCTTGGCCCTAACCTAGCCCTAGTCCTTCTGGGGAGCCCGAGCACCACCCAGCCTCGCACAAACTGTTGAAGGGGTCCTGGAGCAGGCCGGCTCTATCATAGCACTAGCCCAGGGCAAGGCCGGGTCAGGCCCTCGGGCCACGGCCGTATTTCTTCATGAACATAAATATTGGATTAACATGTGATTTTTTTTTGCATTGAGAGCACCCGATAATTTCGGGTTTTAGTTTCCTACACGACGTGACCTCTCTCTCAACCTATTCGATCCATCCGCTCTCTACATCGGATTTATCCCCTCTCTCTCTCTCTCTCTCTCTAGAATTGTATTGAATTGAATAGCACCGAATATGCGCCCCACCTTTCCTCCCGGGTTGCCAAAACACACACACACCACGACAAAACTGGACAGCTTCTCATGGGTCCATGGAATCCACCCCCCCCCCCCCCCAACACGTTTCTTTTTCCTTCTCTCTCTACCTTACTTTCATATTCAATTCTTTTCCTTATTGCCTTAAATGTCAACGATTATTGTGAAAATGCATCCTACCAGCTAACCCCTCTCTTTCTCTCTCATGAAACTGCCTCCCACCCGCAAATCTCTCTCTCTCTCTCTCTCTACATGCAGAGCCACGACAAGCATGGTGCGTCCTCGTGTTCATTTCACTAAAAAAACAAGGAAAATGTTTTTATGAGGATGCAACCTTATGCCCATGCCCTTCCAAAATCCATCGGAAAATGTCATTTTAATATTGAAAAACTTTTTGATTGATCGTGACTATGAAAAATAAAAAGATTTTAAGTCTCGAAAATAATGCATTTTACAACATATTATCCACACCGTTCATTTTCAAGAATTTCATATGTTTATAGATCTATTTTATTTTAATTATTTTTTAGATTTAAAATTTTATCCTAAAAACATCTTACATCAAAATTATACCCCATGATAAAATTTGAAGGTGCACCTTACCTCTACACCTACGGATGCGTCCGTATGCAAACTGCATCCCAAAAAACACAACTCAAAAATTGCCTTTTGCTTAACAACTGGAAGAATCTTGGTTTGAAATATAAGCCTCCATACCGCTACTTCCAGACAACTCTCTCTCTCTCTAGAGGCCTCACCATCCCTCTCTCTCTCTCTCTATACTTCAAATAGAGGCCTCAGCATCTCTCTCTCTCTCTCTACAAAAAGTGAAGAAGGTGGTGGGGCAATGGGGAGGCAACCCTGCTGTGACAAAGTAGGATTGAAGAGGGGGCCATGGAATGCAGAGGAAGACAAGAAGCTCATGAACTTCATCCTTAACAATGGCCAAAACTGCTGGAGACTCGTTCCCAAGCTAGCCGGTAATCTATATCTCCTCTGTAAATCACCTTTTCTCTCTCTAAACGACCCATTTCTCTCACTAAATTCTTGTAAATGATTCTTCTCTCTATATCTCCCTCTTTCAAATCATTCACACAACTTCATTCCCGGACACCTCTCTCTCTCTCTCTCTCTCTTAACTGATGCTAATATTTGTAATAACTCAATCTCCAGCCAATATTTTCTCTCTCTAACTTATATCCATTTGTATACATTCCCCTGTGAATTCATACAAAAAATTTCACACCTCTCTCTCTCTCTACCTGATTCCCTGTTTCTCACTCCTCCTTGCCTCAACTGCAGGACTACTAAGATGTGGAAAGAGTTGCAGGCTGAGATGGACCAACTATCTACGCCCTGACCTAAAGAGAGGCGCGCTCTCCGAATTCGAAGAGAACAAAATCATCGAACTCCACTCACGGCTCGGAAACAGGTCAGCGGCTGCATGTTCTTCTCTGTTTCTTCTTCTTTTTCCCCTGTTTCAACTCTCTATCACAAATTCTAGAAAAATTTCACACTGCTGTTCATAGTTCATATCCAATTTCTGAAAAAACGAGGAAACTCCGGAAATTTCCAGGTGGTCGAGGATCGCTTCGCAATTACCAGGAAGAACCGATAATGAGATAAAGAACCATTGGAACACAAGAATAAAGAAGAAATTAAAGCTCCTCGGATTAGACCCTGATACCCATAAACCCAATGAGACTGGTTGTACGAAAATCGAAGAAGAAACACATAAAGAGGAGGAGAAAATTCAATCCAAGAGTGAAGCTTCTCTGTCTAAAGTTGATGATACAGCGAGCTTTTCGCCAAGCTATGGAGGTTTATGGGAAAGCTGGGGAGTTGAAGAATTAATGGACCCTGTTTTGATAGAACCAGAGGGTTTGGTGGTGAACCAGGAAGAAAGCCATGGCCAAAGCTTAGAGCAAGGTTCTAGTGCTTCTAATAGTTGCATAAGTTCAGCTACATTGGAGGAAGATATGAAGCGTTTTTGGGGTGAGGAATGCTTTTTAGGAGAGAGAATGGGATCCTTCTATGAGTTTGAAGAACAGCAACATTGTCTTGATAGATTTTTCTTCTCCTAACTCTCCCTCTCTCTCTCTCTAAAACTATTTTTCAGAGTGTTAAAAGTAAATTAACCTCAAAACTATGAGTGAACATCTTTGCTCAGACAAATTGTGTTCTATATTGTATTCTTTTTCTTTTCTTTTTTTCAATTAATTCTTATTTGGTTAGTACGTACTGACTGTAATTCAATGTTTATCTTCATCATCATCAGACTCTTAACCCAACTATTTGGAAACAGATATCATCGTCATCCTCACAATCTTTTTCCAACCAATTGGGGTGGCTAAAATAGACATAAATCTGTCAAAACTCTGGCTGAAATAGACATAAATCTGTCAAAACTCTCGCGTTTTGCACAAAATCTACATCAAATCAATTGTCGTGGTGATCATCGTCCTAGTGGAAAATCACTTGCTCTGGTATTATAAAATCTAAAAAAGAAGCCCTCATACCAGCACATCAGGACATAAATGAAACAGATATGGCAAAAGTTTTATTAGCTGCCAACCTGACTCAACCCTCCCCTCCTTCTTCTTAATGGGCTTGGGACTGAAAATGACAGAATTATCCTCCTTCAACGTATGCCATTTATATCATTTTAAAGAACAATATGAACAAAGTTCATCAGAGAGACCACAAAGGAATTTACTCATTTTTCATCCAACAAGGTAACAAAGGCTAGACACTATTGAAAAAAGAAGTTAATCCATCAAAAATGAAGAGTTCAGCATAAATAGGTTACATTAGAAATGTAGGCCTCTTGGGTTCTCTCCACACATTGGGCACCTTCAGTTATTTTTAGGGAAAAGAATAGATGGACATTCAGACAATGAGTACTTTATACAGTATTAGGGTTTTGGGGATTTAGGTGTTTATTTTTGGTACTTTTCACAGTACTAGGGTTTCGGGGATTTAAGTGTTTATTTTGGGATTGTATATCATGAGACTATTTATCTTTGTTACGCGATGTCATAATTATTCTTAATCATTGGATATCAATTTGGATGACTTGAAATGTTTTATGAAGTTCAAAAAAGTTTTTTTGAACTTTGAGTTTAATATGTGAAACTCTTCTAACCATCTTATTTGAAATTTGATGGACAAGAGTAATAAGGAGCACCTCGTAAGGAAAAGTAAGTGGTTTCTTTATAACTTTCCTCTTATTTTGGCCTTTTTTAACATGGGAAAGTTTATATAGAGCCGAGGCTCTAAACAATCAAATTAGACCCCCACCTCAAACAAAAAAGTTATTTTGATGCCCAAATATTCTTAAATAGATCATCTCAACATCAAGATGCATAGGCATGAGAAAAAAATGGATTTCAAGTTTTAAAAATAGTGCATCTTATAACGCATTTTTTAACCGTCAATTTTCAAGATTTTCAAATTTTCATAAATCTATACTATTTTAGAGACTTTAAATTTTATAATTAGAAATGAAAATATATTTTAAGACTATCACAAAGGTTTTCAATATTGAAACCTCTTTTCTCAATACTATTTAAATGTGGGCTCTACTTTGATTGTTTAGAGCCTCGTCTCTATTGAAACTGCACCCTTTTAACATAGGGCCTATTTGAAAATTTAAAACTAATTTCTCGGAGAATCTTCCTTGGAAATGAGACTCTTGATTTCCAATCATTGGTGTTCAAATTAGGGGAGAAATCAACCTATGCCCCCAATTTTCACCTCGTCTCCTAAATCTAAATAGGCGGAAAATGTACGTGTGCAGACATTGATCGTCCATTTCTAGACATTAAATCTGATCGATCATATAGCGAACCATTTCTACTATTCCCCTCCCACAAATATAGGGGTTTATTTTCTCTCTTTCTCTTCTTCTTCTTCTTCTTCTTCTTTCTTTTTTTTTTTTTTTAACCATTTCTCCCATTCCCCTCCCTTGGGTTTATTTTCCCTTTCTTTTTTTTCTTTTTTTTTAACTTAGTGATAAGGAAAATGATGCATGCATCTTTCCATCTACAAAATAAAGAAAACAATTGTATGTTATAAAAATATTCATTTATGGTATAAAGAAGTTATAATCATTCATAGCTGTTAGATGTGAAATCCGACGACTTAAAATATCTTACATAATTTCAAAAAATTTATTCTAGACTTTATTCTCGATCTATATCACACCCACAACCCCTGATTTCATATCAATAGTCGATAAGGATTCCTTATACCAAAAATAAAATATATACATTTATAATAAGAAATGAGGCGTGCGCACCCATGGTCTTCATCCATTTGAGATGCAATGCAATGGGACATTGAGTGTGGGAAGGTGAGTTCCCCCTGGCATGCGTCTTGCTTGTCACAGTGAAGCATTGCATATGCCATTTTTGGCTTTTTCCTTTCTTTCTTTGTATATACCATTTTTGGCTTTTGTTTTTTTCTTTTAATAGAAGTTTGAGAAAAAAAAAATTTAAGATAATGCATTTATGCAAATGCCCCCCTCTCTCACTCAAAATATTTATTTTATTTTAGTTCTCTCTATCCCGCTTATTGTCTTAAGGAAAATGTTTTGATATGGCTGCAACTTTATCAAAATAAGTAAAACCTCACCATAAAACTTACAAAAATTTGCTGATTTAGTGTTGGAAAAACATTTAAATCAATCATTTCAGCCTTGACTAGTATTGTTGTGGAAAAAAAATGGGATTTCAAACGCAAAAAATAATTTATATTGTAACACATTATCTAGACCGTCCATTTGCCCTAAAAAATTAGTGTTCACAGATGGACAAGGTCCGTACTATTTTTTGAGCTTCAAATTTCATTATCAGTGCTGAAAATTAATGTTAGAGCCATCATAGAGATTTGCACTGCCCAAAATGCTTTTCAAATGAGGATTCGAAGTGAGGCTTTACTTTGTTTTCATAAATCCTATAAGACCCTCCCCCATTTATGTGTATAGGACCCCAAAGGATCACT